GTTCAGCAGAAATCTTCTAAACTGCTCAAAATTTCTGCTGAGGAAAATAATGCACAGATTATTTTCCTACATACCACTAATCAACAAGAATATTTTGGAGGTACTCTGGCTTTTAGCACAGGAAACTGGTAGGGGGAGTATGGGGGGTGGTATGTGCCCCCTGCTGAGATTGGCCTCCACCTCGGTACGGCTCAGGATGGGGCAATTTTTTTGCCGCGTGGGGCAGTGGTGTGTTGGAGGCTGGGGGGACACTAAGCCACGGCAAAGAAGTATAGGAGTGGATATAGAGCTTTTCGCCTGCCCCTGGGCCCGCCCACAAATTGTGCCACCCCAGATTCAGGAGTCACCCCTGGCTTTTAGGTTTGTGCTAGATTCTAAATGGGAGGTGGAGGAGAGAGGAGATGGAGCAGGGAAGACTCGCTCATGATCAGATGGAAGATTTTATTTTGTCACCTTTTTAGAAATACTGATCTGCTCTAAGTGTGAACACCTAGCTGCACAAACAAATCATAAGAAAAACTCCTGTTGGTCAGACTGCAGCTATAAGATAAAGAACTGTCAGTTTCTTTAAAATAAACCCACAGATAAACTATAGGTGTATAAGCTTAGGATCTGTAGGAATTTTTCTACGTTCCTTTTTTCTTTGGTTGAAACATATATTTTCAGAGTTGATGCCTGCATATCAGACCAAAGGTTAGATCACAGCTGCTTATATGTTCTGTCTCTGCGACTCTAGTGGTCTAATGGGACTAGAAAAATTAGCTTCTTGGGATTTCTGAAGGGCTTCTACCTGTGTGAGTCTCCTCCCCCATATCATCTGAGCTCAGTGCACAACAGTATTTGTTAATGGTACATGAATGAATGTCTTTTACCAGTGGTTACCCCTTGGTTGTTATTCATGTTCATTTGGGACAGTACTCAGTAGGGCTGTGCGAAACGGCTATGTTTAATTTCAGTTTCGGATTTGGCCGTTCTGGAGGACAGTGATTCGTTTCAGTGTCTCGGATCACTGTTCTGTTTCAATTCGGCCAAATCTGTTTCAGAGTTTTGACGCTGTTTCGGAGATTTGGATCAGCCGGGGAAAGGCAGGCACAGCCAGGTGGCTGCAGGTTCTCCTGTGGCTCCTCCAGCTGTGCTTGTTTCTGGCCCAGTGGGGGGAGCCGCGGGAGAAGCCCCCATGGCTGCCGTGCCTGGCCCCATCCCCTGCCTGGCCCCAGCCTCCTGGCACTTAAAAAAAAAAAAAAGCCCTGCACTCACTGGATGCAGCAGCAGGGATCAGGGCATCTGAGTGCTTGTGGAAGAGCCCCACTGTGCCGCATGGAGCAGTGGGGATCGACCCCCCCCCCAGCTTGGCACCTCGGGGGGTCCCCCCCCCCCCCCAGCTTGGCACCTGTGCGGCAGCTGTCGCATTGCGCGGGTGCAGTGCAACTCAGCAGGGCACCACGCACTCTCTGGGAGCTGGGGCGGCTCCAGCAGTCAGCTGGAGCCCGGCAGTGCTCAGTCCCAGCAGCTCTAGCTCCAAGGCAGTGCACAGTGCCTTGCTGAGCCACGCTGCACCCATGCCATAGGGCAGCTGCCTTACAGGTGCTAGGTGTGGGGGGCAATTTCTGCTGCCCCCCACTGCCCTGAGCTGTGCAGGGGGGCTCTGCCACAAGACCTCAGAGGCCCTGATTGCCGCTGCTGCAGCCGGTGAGCTTTTTTTTTTTTAAAGTGCTGAGGGGCTGGGGCTGGGGCTGGTCATGGGTTGGGGCCAGGCAGGGCAGTCATGGGGGCTTCTGCTGCAGCTCCTCTGGCTGTGCGTGCCTCTGCCCCGGTGGAGGCAGCTGCAGGAGAAGCCCCCATGGCTGCCCTGCCCAGCCCCATCCCCTGCCCGGCCCCAGCCTCCCGGCATTTTAAAAGGAGAGCTGGGGGGCTGTGCTGGACTATTCCTGGGGAGAGCCTCCAAAACTTTCCTGAAATATTTTGGATGGTTTCGTTTAGTTTTGGAGATGTTTCTGAGCCTTCCATGTAATTTCAGATTCAGTGTTTCAGGTGCTGAAATGGGCCGAAACACCTCCGAAACGAAACGGCTGCCGAAATTTCACACATCCCTAGTACTCAGAACCAAACTTCTTCATCAGTCCTCCCTAGGGCCTTATCTATAGCCAACTAAGTCTTCTTCAGTATTACTTAGAATACCTGGTCTGAAACCGAAGTACGTTCAAAACAAGCCTACCATACATTTCATTTTGCAGTTTTCTGACTCTTGATGGTCAGCTGGAGAGTTAGGAATCAAGGCCAATTGTAATGTTGGTAACCTCATCTAAAGTGTCTAAAGCCTGGTGTAATTGGGTCTTAGAGGAAAAAGTCATCAGATTCTATACAAAGAGTTTGAAGGATCAGCACATCCTCTGTCTGCGTAGGTCAGGAAATCCCTGCTTGTTAATACAGAACAAGAAGCTGGCTGTAACCCTAGAGAGAGGAATAAAGCCCTATTAGTTTATATCTTGAACAGAATATGAGGCATGATGCAATTACTTGCCATATGTATGCTTGGGGATTTCTAGCTCCCAACCTTGGCATAGCTCTTTACAATACAGCAGAGGTAGGCCAATATTTAGCACTTTTTTCAACTTTCCAGCTTGTTTTCATGCTTATATCTGGGGCTCCTTAGAGTCACTATCGCTACTAAAAATCAGAAGACTCTAAATGACCAGTTATGCATTTGCACTGGCAAATACTTGATATATGTGTGAAATAGGAGTAACAATGTGTAAACAGTGGGTGACTAATTAGGTTTGCATTTTTATGCATGTAACTGCCAGATCAAGTTTGCGAATCACAAGGATAATGTAAAGAGTATTAGACTATGTTAATTAACAAATAAATTGTGTAAATTGACTTTTACCATGACACTAGCTAAAAAAAATCACACCTGGAGCATGCATTGTATAGCATTCCTAGTACAGAATGTAGAATCATGGAGAAGAAAGGCTGGAAGGGACCTCCACAGGTTATCTAGGCCAACCCTCTGCCTGAGGCAGGATCATCCCTATCCATACCATCCTATGCAAATCCATAATCTAACCTCTTAGTAAAACTACCTGTTATTGTTTGATCAAACTCCCAGGATTGCTGTTTTATAACAAGTCATTATATAATGCTGTTGCTTTGAGGTATACCTATCAGTTGCTGCTGCTTTACTGCAGATGTAGTATATACAAGTCAGCTACATTTTTACCATATAAATATACTTAAAACTATAGGTACATTCTCAGTGATCACTTAAAATATTTTCCCATTTTACTTATTTCTAGAGCAGGTGTGGTGAATCCACAAGTGCCACAAGTGGCATGGGCAGCCTCTGTGTGTGGCATGTGATAGATCAAGGAGGGGACAGCAGCACAGCAGCAGATAGGAAAGGAAGCAGAAGGCAGAGCATGAGATCAGGTAAGGAGTACAGGGCAGGAAGCAGAAAGCAGAGCTGCAGATTGGGCAGAGGAAGGGGATCAGCGTGGCACTTGGGGAGCATGTGGGGCTAATTTCTGGCGTGTCTACCAATGAGTTCCAGACTGCCATCGGGATAATACACCTGTGAAGCTCACCTCCGTTCCATATGGCAGTCTCGATATCACCTCTGGCGCCATCCAGTATGGAGTTCCAACCAGGGATTTCCTTTTTGGGACTTCCTTTGACACTTGGGCACAAAACCCAAAATCTGATAATTTAATCTGAAAATAGAGCAAAAGGAAACCACAAAGGCATGAATGAGCAACCAATTGGAAGGTCTGAACCCCGTTGTGTCCTTGACAGTACTGAATACTCACAAGCATCTCAAAGAAGGGGGCCTAGTTGGCTATCTACTTCAGAGGCCTGATGTGTTGTATGTAAGTCAGGGGTGGGCAAAATACAGCTCACAGAGGGATTTTTGTCTGGCCCACGGCAGGTTCCTTGGTCCCACCCGGCCCATGAGCAAGGAACAGCCTGGGCTGTGGTAAGTGAGGCCGGTCCTGCTGCTCCCAGGCATGCAGTGGGGCTAGAGCAGCATAGCGACTGGACTCTATTTTCTGGCAGCCCCAGTGTTGGTGGCTCCTTCTGGCTGCTGCTGCTGGACTCAGCCCCCCTGCCTAAGCACCCCAGCCCATCCGCTCCACACCCACCACCAGGGTTAGGATCCACATGGGCAGAGCAGCTGAGGTGGGGTTGCGGGCTCGTGGGGAGCAACATCCAGGAGTGAGGCAGTGAAGAGGAATGGGGAGACCCCAGGATCTTGGGGCAGTGAGAGTGTGGACAGGGGTGTGCAGGGAGTGGATTGCAGCTCTGCTCTGGCCCCAGCCCTGTGCTGTCACTGCCACAAGATCCTGGCCCCGGCCCCAGATGCAGCACCCCGCCTGCCTGCCCGCACAGCTCTTGGCTGATCTCCATGGAGACCCTGCGATCACAGGGCTGTAACAGCACAAGGCTGGGAAGAGCCCCAGTTCAATGGGCATAGATGTGCAAGAGAGTATCACAGTTCTGCCCCAGCCTTGCCTACCCTGCTTCTGTATACCACTCCCTGCCCCCTGCAGCCCCTTCCCACATTTGCTGAGTTGTTGTGCCGGGGGTGGGGGTGGGGAGAGGTGCTGACCCAGCCTGCGACAGCTCAGCAAAACTCCCCATGTGGCCCACAGGCCCAAATAATTGCCCACCCCTTATGTAAGAGAATACCCTGGTTTGAACCGATCTGTCCTCAGCATACCCCATTCTCCCTCATCCCTACACTGGAAAATCTAGCTCCTTACCTGGTTGCCTGACTAAAACCCTTATGTTCTGCACTGGCTGGGTCAGATATGAAAAGCTACCCTAAATGTGGCTGCAGTTACATTTATTCACGATTTCTCCCACACTCCCACAAACATGTTATATTGTGGCTGCCTGCTGTGACCCCTTGACTAGAGTGAAACCTCCTGCTATGTCCATATTTAGCCACACCCTCGGCCCAACGCATGTGAAATTTCTATGAGGGATTAATTCTGCAAAGTTTTCAGCATAACTTCTTTACTCTTGGAGCTTTCTATATTGAAAGGTGTGACTTTGCTGCCTTATATTTGACCCAGAAGTAAATGAGCCTTGTATTTATGACGTGTGTAGCAAAAGCAGTACATTAAAAAAAAAACATTTCTGAAAAATGATGAAGTGATAAAATATACAAGCTTGCACATGTGTGTTCTGCAACATTAAACTCTTGGGTTTATATTGCCTTTGTTTACAAGGAGTGCTGTTTTCGTGAATATAAAACTGCTTATTCAATAACACCTGTTAGTAAGACTGACTCCTTAAAGTTTACATGCATGAATAGTTTGAAGATATTGGTGGCAGAAGACAATTTTTGTGGAAGCCATTGTGCATTAAGAGATCATTTATTGCTGTGCATTGTGCAATGTGATAGCACTGCCAGGATGAGCAGTGGAAAGATCTACCTTTGGAATTGTTCAAGATGGAATACTTTGCCTATCAGGCTATCAACTCATTCACTATGCCAGCCTGCTGTCTGGGGACAAGGCATGAGCCCAAATAGCTATATAAGGCATTAAAGAGGAAACTAAATAAATTGCTGCATTGTTTAGACCAGCATTTTATTATCAGCATTGATTTGTTTTCTCTTGGCTTCAGTGCAGACGTTAGTTTTCATTGAAGGCAGTTTTTTTTTAAAGTCAGAATTTAGAAATAATTGTTGGTATTTATAAAACAAAGCAAATAATATCCAAGTTCTCCAAGCCAAACATATTTTTCAGTTTACAGCATGAAAAACAGAAGAACTAACGCATATTTTGGAAGCTGAGCCGCTTTCTCTTTTGTAGGTTCATAAGAGGTTCTGCATATCCATTGCTCATCCAAGTACATCAAAGAAGACAATTTTCTAAAAAAAGATAATTGCACAACATATCCACAAAGAAATCTGCATTGCAGATAATAAGTACTGGAGTAATGAGTATAATGAGGCATTGTATGCAGAGACTGAAACCCAATCAGATGCTATTTCAGCAGCACTACTCTAGATGTGACTGAACAACTTCCACACATATGGAGTTTTCTTTCCCTGGATGCCTCCTGGTATGTGAAGTCTGTAAGAAGAAGCAAAGCAGAAGAGACAGTCTTTGAATAGAGCATTAGCTTAGGGGTGAAATCCAGGATGTACCAAAGACAATGGGTATTTGGACTTTTAGAATCAGGAGATCTGTGTTTGATTCCTAGTCCTGCCTTAGACTTCCTAGAATCTTGGCCAAGATACAACAGATACAGATTTTCCTGGTGGGCACCAATATTTAGGATTCTAGGTGCCTTGTCCCATAAAGTGATCCTAGGATCAGGTCCCTAAGTTCTCTATGAAGTCAGTGGGGAGAACTAAGTGCTTCCTACAGGCAAATCGGAGCACTGAGTTCTGAATGGAGGCCCTTAGAGGTAGGCAACATAGACCCAGGGTATACCCAAACATTATAGGTGCCACCATCCATTTGGGATCCAGAGCATCCACCTAATGCACACCAAAAGCACTAATTTCAGTATGAAGTGCAGCATCTGCAGCCATACTTACATGTAAACATAGGTGATACTGATGGTGCCTACTTTACATGCTAATAGAGGGGACTTACACATGTGCCCGGCGCCTGCTTCCGCAGCCTTGGCATCACATGTATTTAGCATCTGCACGCTTCAAAATGGTGGCAGAGGTGCTTTAACTAAAGCTTGTTGAATGAGCTTTGGTTAAGTGCCCCGCTGCCATTTTGAAGTGTGGGATGCTGAATACATGAGACGTTGTGGGTGCTTAAATTAGAGTGGCCCCCAAGAGCCTCTCTAATTAAAGTGTCCCCCCTTTCCCCCATCCTGGAGCACATGTTAAGCCACCCCTAGTGATTACAGCACCTAAAAGTAGGGTTTTAGGTCCTCCTTGGAGCAAAAGGATTTAAACCCACCCATCTCTCCCATTTCTAAGGAGATTGCCTTAACCATCAGGCTAAGGGACAGACACCAGTCTGTTGTAGGTGGACAGAACCACAGGGGCAGAAGCAGAGGAAACAAAAGGTAGCCTAGTAATGAAGGCTCCCCCTCCCCAGTTCTGATGTAGTCTGCAGTAGAGCTTGGGGGGTGGGTCTAGGTACCTAACTGCATGAATTGGATCACTTCTGAGCAGTCTCAGAAACCTAAGTCGAAGAACGTAGGGATCTGTTAGATTGAAATAAAGGTGTGTGATGAATTTAGTTGCCTCCCCTGGATTGTTTTTTGTACCTGCTATGTCAAAATTCTGCCTAAGTCCCATTCAGAAATCCAGTTGACCACTTTAGGTCTGTGCATCAGTTATTCATGCATACAATGGAGATGACAACATGCCTTTCTTCCTGTCTATTCCTAAACTTGAATATTACATTACATTTAAGTAGGAACTCACTCTTAATATAGACCACCTAGCCCAATGGGGATGCAATCTTGGTGTGAAGCTTCCAGGCACTACTGTGATATAAATAATATATCATAATAAACTAGATACATTGGTCCATCTACAATTTGCAGTACAGGGTAAGTTCTCATTTCCATTGCCTGACTAGTGCCCAGAATGTCTTCCATTACAGAGGGATCAAGAAATCTTTGTTATTTTATCTGCTACAGACCAAATGATCCCCTACCCAAGGGATGGTAAACAAAGCCATAACAGTGATGTGGAGGAGCTGTGAGATGGGGACAGAGAGCTACAGATAATGTTTGTCTTCCCAATGTTCCCCCTCCCAGAAAACTGCATGGCACTGAAAAAAGTAGGAAGGGGGTAGCTGACCAGGCAGGGAGAGGGACAGGAAACAGCCATCCTATATTGTACATTTCCTCCTCCACACTGACAATAATACATCTGAAAAATGGCAACTGGTTACTGCTGCCAAGAGCATTATTCATTTCTTTTCTGGGTCTGGTAATCCCTATCACAACCTTTCTCCAGGCTAGAAAAAAAACACCCCTTGTTGACAACAGGCATTGGTGCAGCTGAAACAGTGCTGCACATGGTTTAATTGCAGTACAGCATTCATGTCCATTAATCAAGGTTTCTGAAATAGCACACTATGCAGTTTGTGCTTGGCTATACCTTTCCATCACAACTGTGCATCAGTTTAATAATCATCCTCATCAGGAGGTGTTTGTATAAAAAAAAATGAACTCCTGATGGTTGCTATGATCTGGCTTCCTCAGATATCAAGTTTCAGCTTTGTCTCTCTCATTCACCAGAAGCCACATGCTTCCTGGAACTCTATGCATTGTACATAGATATCAAATCATCAAGTAAAGGCCATCCTTTTGATTTTGCATGGAAAACCCTTCATTCTTGCATGGAGAACATGTAGGTCCTACAGGTCTACAGCAAGTAGAAGCAGAAATGGCTCTAGCCTTCAACAGCTGTGGACTGCAGCACTATATAGGATTTTAATTAAACTCTTAACATTAATGGGGGGGCAAATTTCTTGGCAGATGTGAGACAAATTAAGCCTGTACCCTCCCTGAGTACCACTCCAATCCCCCACCTGTGCTTTCTGCTCTGTGTTCCCTCTCTGACCTGTCGCATGCCACATGCAGAGGCTCCCCATGATGCTCGTGGAATGTCTGTTGCAGGTTGGCCATCCATGCTTGACATGATGGTTTCACTGTCTGTATTATCACTTTCCCTGTCTATTATGATCCTCCCAGTCAGAGATGAAGTACAAGGAGAAATGCTAGGCACTCACCCTTCCATCGCTTGTAAGAAGTATGGAGTCACTTTTGATATCACGATGAATAACGCCTTGATTATGCAGGTAGGACAGCGCTTTCAGTACAGATAAACAAACTGTAGCTATCTGCTCTTCGTTCATCCTAAAAATAAGGTGTCCAGTGGTGAGAGCAAACATCAACTTAAGGCAAGAATAAGACACCGAAGAAACAGATAAAGACAATAGGCTTGATCCTCAGTAGGACATGAGACAGGCCCATCCAAATCAATACATGGAAATTAATAGAGAGTAATCAAGTCATTCTGAGGAAAAGGGTTCAAATGTTTCTCCCTGGGAACTTCTCATTCTTCTTAGTGCTGTTCAAGACCTGTTGTCCTTGCCAGGTCTTCCCTGTGCCTCTAAGGTATAGTTCTTGTTTGAAAAGTAACTGTGTAAAAGTATCATGCTTTTGCTCAATAGAACTGTGCCCTGTGCACTGTCAAAGTGATATCCCTGGACTTCAGTATAATATATGCTTTTATCTCTGTTTGCAACATGGATAAGAAAGTAATCTGGATTCTATTCTTTTTTGTGCATCTTCAACAGAAGTGTTTACTGAATTCCAGACAGCTTCACCCAATTGGAACTTGTGGTAAATGCATTTAAGACAAAGAGGTTGCAGAAGTATCACCAAGTGCTTATTGCAGGACATCAAATTAATGGGATTGCACAAGTGTAATTGAGGGCACAGTTTGACCAACAGAACATTTGTTACTGGTGATAATGTGTGGGTGAGAAATAGTTCGAGACTCAGATCTCAGGCTGAGCTAGCAGGGCACAGAGTCTTTTACTTGTAAATTGAACACATTCTATCCACAAATTTCTGACTCAGAACACCATGAGACCATTTGGATAGTTCTTTTCCAGGGTACATTTGCACTTTTATTTCTTTAGATAACGGAGTGGGTATCCTTCTGCAAAGGTCAGGTGTGAGGAAAAGTTTTGAGAACCAGGTTTTGATTAGTACATGTACAGCATTAATTATACCCAATGAATAGTACAATGTAACATGTTACAGTTAGTCAATTTCTGACTCTGAAGAGTCATCTACCGTGAGTTCACTAGTTGCCAAGAAGGATAAATCACTGTGGGAAAGGAATCATGAAAGGAATGAGGAAGGGAAATGATACTTGAATTTCAGAGGAAATTTGTGGATTCATGCCCTATGTGTAATCCTTCAAAACTATTTCCTTTGCTATTATGTATAATACAAAGAAACATTAAAAATGAATTTCAAAAGCACCCCATAAAAGAAATGATAAGATATAGTTATCTAGTCATCATTCACAAAAAAAAAAAAACTTCTGGAAAAATAAGTCTGTCGCATCATTATACCGTGGTTCTGGCAATGAAACGAGAGGGAGTTAATGAGCTGTAAGGCATTCTGTCGTGTGCTAAATCACAGCAGCCTTCATTCACTGAACATCCTGTAGCGGTCATTCAATGAGAGATGTGAAAAACAATCCATATTTCAGTTCTGAATTACTACTCACCTTGCTTTCTAGTCGAGCCAGTAAAAGGCACTTATTCTGCCAGGCCAGCCCAAACTTGCTCTATTACATTAACATTAAAAAGGTCCAAGGCGATTTCTGCTTTAACTCTACTATGCAAATTTTGCAACATTTCAGCAAAATATTTGAAGGAAGGTCATAACATGTTCAAGAAGAAGATTAAGGAATGATTTTGGTGAATAAAAATTATGACAGCTCTTAAATAGTTTTTAGTGATAGAGGCTTAAGAGGCTCAAAAGTCATAAACCGTTTGTACATTAAGCCCACAAGCGCCTTCAAGAGATTGGAGATACTAAACCAAACATATGGGCAGCAATGGAGTGGGCTGACCAGTGGGAAAGGTCAGATCTATTTCTACAGAGTTTTATACCAACACCAGTTGAGTTCTTTGTTGGGTACAACCTTGACAGAAAAGTGTGGGTCAAGCTGAACAGACTGAGATCTGGATATGGACACTTCAAAACAACACTTCACAATATGAACATCTTGGACAACTTCCTGTGTGAATGTGGTGTCCAATAAACAGCTCCAATCTTTACAAATGCCAGACAGGGTAGATAGAATCCATACATTGAGCGGTAATACCAGACAGTGGCTCATGGATTTGGAAGTTGATATCTGATGCCATACGGAAGAGAGAGAGAGAGTGAGCATCTCTTTGCCATTAAACTCTTGTCTAAAATATCTGACATAGTGATTATGGTGTGTTGGGTCACACTAGTTAACAGATAACTTACAATGCTGTGATTTATTTTTGCTTATCAGTTAAGACAGGACTTAAAAACTGAGGATGTATTTTACAACTTCTGTTTTAACTGTGACCTGAACTTGCCAATAAATTGCCAGATGACAAATGTCCATGTATGAATGGGCGTTCTTGAGTAAGCAGGAGTCTTTTCTTCTTGTTTAGATAAAATTTCACACACAGATGTGTTAGATGATGACTTTTGATTCAAGAAGAAAGCATTTTTCCTGGTTAAATGAAGAACATACCTTCCCTGGCTACTTTTCTCAGTGGATGGTGGGATAAAAATGGGTGGCAAAGAGGGAAAAAGCATGACGTAGATCTGCTCAGAAGAAGAGAAGTTGGAAGACAGGGTAAGACCTATGTGCATCCAGTTTATTTACTGATTTAACTGTATCTATTCTTACTAAAATTATCATACAACCCCTAGCGTGACCACATATACTGATATAAAGATGCTTACACTAGTATATTTTAGGTTTAACCCTTGTTTTGCCAGCATAGCTATGTTGACTGTTGGTATGAAAGAAAAGCATAATTCTAACTAGCACATCAAAGTACCTGGTGTAGCTTATTTTACCCAGAGAACTAGTTAAAACCTACATCAGAAAAAAGCTCTTTTATTGAAAGAAAGTGCCTCTCAGTCAAGGGGTTGGGCAGCTGTACCAGCAGACTCTTTCAAATGCATTTATTTCCCTTCCTGAATGGAAGAAGCTGTACCAAGGAAAGTGCATTTATATTAATACAACTATTTCCATGCAAGAAAAAAATTAAGTATCCTTTAAGTATACTGGTGCAGCTAAATAACTGCAACTTTTGTTTATAGCTAAGGCCCTGCCTTGTTGTGCCTGGAGAAGGAATTCCCAACACTGAGAAACTATGATTTCATCTGTTTCATTTTCTTTTGGCAGTTAAACCATAACATTCAGGGTTTGCCACCACATTATCAGTTCCAGGGGGTGAAGAACACAATGGAAACGTGCTCTGATCCAGTTGGCCAATTCCTATGAGCCACTCTGCATTAGAGTTGAATTAGCAGAGGTAGGCTATATAGGTTAAAGAACAAAACATGGTTGTTCCAACATAGGCACCTTGTGGGTTAAGAGGTTCAGGGACCAATTTCCTTCCCAGTTTGCTCAAGCAGTAGGTAGCCTAAATGTAGGCAGCACTCCATAATGCAAGATATATGTGGGAGGAAGAGATATTAATGCTAGTTGAAATGTAACAAACAAGATATTGGGTGCTGTCAAGGAAAACACACAATTCTTGTAAGAGTAGACTGCCAAGGAGTAGATGCTTCCCTAGCATTGCTGAAGGCATTGCTTCTGAATGATTCAGGCATAATAGCTTCTCTCACTATTGTTCAAGTGGTATACAAACACCTCCTACCTTCCCTCACATTGCTTTGGCTCTGAGGTAAAATTTTAGTACTACCAAATCAATGATAGTTTTGCCCCCGGTTTCAACAAAGCCAGGATTTCACTCAAGTAGAGCCAATGCAGCAGTAAAAGTATGGATGAGACAGGTACACGAGAACCAGAGGAAATGGACTGAATTTGATCCTAACAAAATATGAACTTATAAATGCTACAATCATCCCCTCCATTACCTGTCTGCTAAAATCTAAGGTAACATTTCAATGTTTCCCTTAGCATGACTGACGAGACATCACTCATTGCTGTTCAAGAAGTATAATGATTCTGGTTTGCTGAAATTCTATGCTATATAGTTGCTGCAGGAGCAACACAGGACCCTAAACTCTGTTCTGAGTGGTTGGTGTAGGTCTTTCCATTCATCCTTAAAGATATCTGAACAATAGAAAGACAGAAGAATGGATTTGCTGTGTAGTGAGATTAGCTGGGCATTTTCAAATAGAACTGGTTTAAAAAACTGCCTTTGATTACAGGGAGATTTTTTAAAAGATTAATTTCCAGTAAGGTTTTTAGAGTTTTTGCATTTTATCTGCTGCAAAAAAATAATGATGATACTTCATAGGCCTGCATGTTGAAAACACCAAATTATGTTAAAACCACTCATCACTTTTCACACAGCCATCCAGTGCATATAGTGAGGGATAGATTTCAGAATCCCAGTCAGCTTCCCTGCACCTCTTGCAGTCTTTTTTCCAACTGGCAGGGCCATCAAGTGGAAGCAAAAAGCCATCTTGCTCCAGTTCAAGCACAGGTTTTATTTACCATATTGTGCTATAAGTACATTGAACAATGAAACAATGAGCAGGTAAAGCTAACCAAACATACCTTGTGTGAGTCACAATGTCTGTCAAAGCTCCACCTTCTAGAAACTCCATCACAACCCACAGCTCATCACCAACAAGGTAACTGTTGTACATATCAACCACGTTTTCATGATGGTAATCCCTCATTATCACAACCTATGCAAAAACAAACAAACAAACCAAAAAACAAACCAAAAAACCAGTGGGTGAGTGACCAGAGGTATCACTTGATTCTCACATTGCTTGAAACATTTGATTCTTCTTTTACTTTTTCTTCTCTTTTTAACTTTTACCCTCAATAAATACTATATTTGTGAGCAACACCATTGCTATAAACATATGCTCGCTTATATAACTGAAACAATATAGTTTCATAAAACCATGCTTGTGGTAAATAAATTAAGAGTGAGGGAGGATGTTTAACTTCTAAATTATATTTGGTAGATAATAGCTTTTCTTTTGGATATAAAGCCAGAAATGCTTATTTCATTGCTTTCTTTGCCTGTTGCTTTTCTATTCAGTACAGCAGAGATCTTATCAACTTAATAAGTCAATCAATCAATCAAAGCCTTCCTTCATGGTTTAGCGAATATCATTGTGCAGAGAATTCAGAAGTTAAGTAATGATGTATGGCTTGCCTGTGACCCCCTGCCTGTGTTCCCCACCCATTTCCACTTTATACGACTGTGCTGCTTCCCACATCATAGGTACCAAGCCAGGTAGAACAGCAGGTGCCTCAAAACTGCTATGTATGCCTCTTCTGGCTCAGCTGGACAGGATGAAGCAGAACAAAGTGGGAAATGGATGCACCCTTGACTGAACTAGGGTGACGAGGTTATGTTACGCCAGTTAGTGGCCAAACAGTGATGTTTGCTACCTGAGCACAGAAGCTGAAGGGAGATTGTGCTAGGCCCAAAAACCACAATCTCCTTCCAGTTTCCCTACTGCTCTTGGATAAGGGATTACATTGTCTATACCTACGCTATGTGGGAGATGTCAAGATTTTAAGATGGTTAGATTGGATTTCTTTCAGCCTTTGATCAAACTTGAATGTTTTACTGGAAAACTAACAGAAATGATGATTAGAGCTACACTTATAAAATGCCAAATAGTTACTGTAAATGAGAAATAGTATTGACACAGTTAACTTCATGACTGCATCCAGAGGAGCATGGCCGTACAGTACGTGGCACCACAGACATGTCTGCGGTGCCACATACCACATGTTCAGGTGTTCTCTGAGCTGCAAGGGAGCAGCATGGAGGGTTTTTTTGAACACTGGATATCCAGGGGTGAAAAAAACCTGCTGAAAAAAAAAAAGGAGCAGCGGACATGGGGGCAGTGCATGCCATTCAAAAGTGGACCCGGGCCACCCGGAGCTACGCTGCAGCTGCCAGCAAGGTCCGACCGGTAGGATAGCACAGTGCTGGCTCCAGCCTCCCCTACCACTCCTAGGGTAACTTGTCACGTGCCAGAGTGCATGTGGCATGCACAGTCCCCAGGGACAAGTAGCTGTGGTGCAAGGTGCGCCGCTGCCTGCTGTCCCCAGGGAACCAAATGTCCACACCATGTGTGGATGCAGCCCATGAGGCCTATTATAGTAGTAAATCTAATGTGTACTAGTAGAATGGATCCACCTATCTTTATTTATTAAAAACTAGGTTCTATGACCCATTTAAGGTAAGATGGCTTATTTGATACATGTTAAAAGCATCTTATTCACTTCAGTTAGAGAAGGCCAGGGCACATGCAACTCCTTGAAGTCAATGAGAGTCACAAATGCATGAGATCTGCAGGATCTGGCTTATATTACTTGTCAAATTTCTAAGGGACCTACTACCATGGCATCTAAAACATCATAGGATATGGACTGATTTTTAATGGGGACACATGGATGGGTACTGTGTTAGCCTCTTAAAGAACTTCAAATCATTTACAGTTCTATATTATTTTTTCCTTTAAAATTTGTTGTGAGATGCCTGTTTCTATGTCTCTGACTAATCATTTCCTTGCAGTGCCCATATCTTGCCCTTTAAACATATTTAATTACCATTTCAATTGGATAGGAGGTCTAAAACTCCCTCCTGCTTACATTTTATGTGGATTGCACATCGTCTTTATTTGTGAAATTCCTACTGACTTCAGTGGGAGGTACCTGAATATAAAGGCTACAGTACAGAAAAGAATGCAGCTTCGTGAGACAGCAAGTTACACCAGCATAATATTCCTATTGCACTGCTGCAAATAAAGGAACTGTGAAACTTCCTTAGTCAACACCACCAGTGAAATCAGTCTTTGGGTAAACTCACTTGGAAATTAAGGTCACTTATTCATGTAGATCATAAGCTGACTGAACAGCCCAAGTACTCAGGCAAATGTTTTTGGGATTCTCAGCCTCAGCCTGCAACAGTGGATGCAAATTTCTCTATGGCCACTACTACAGAGCTTGGAAGGAGATGCTCTGAAGTACAGAGAGGTGTCTCCTGATATTGTCTTGAGCCAATGAATCTACTTTGAGTACAGAGCAAATTCCCACCTCTTCTTTTCCCACTCTCCAAGCTTAAGAGAGTACAGTCTAGTGTTGTAGATGGAAGACAGAGTCCTTCTACATGTGTTCTCTTTCCTGTCTTGATTACATGTTCTACTCTCACAAGGGGAGACTTTTGGGGCCTTCCACATTCCCAGGGAAATGATTTAGCCCTTGTATCGGGGTGAACAAGACCCACCAACAGGCACGGCTATCACAAAGCCCACCATGATGGGAAGCTCTTGGTTCAATTCTACTACTCACTGCTCATTGGGCCAAAGCCTGCTCAGCTTTAATGTCCTATGTGACTCAACTGATTGATTTTGCATTTGATTACTGAAGGAATTTTCATAAATTCATATGTCTAGAGGCCAGATGGGACTATTAGCTCATTTAGTCTGAATTTCTATACACTGAAAATGTTCACTCACCACAAATGCAAATTGAGCTCACAGCCCCTATCTTGGAAGGCTGCTGCTCTATGTTGAGCCCATGTAGGTTGTCATTTTGTGTCTGTTTGTGATTCGTAACCCATAACCTTGCATCCCCACTCAAAATGATTTACCTCATTGAAGAGTAGTTCCCTTCTCTGCTGTTTCCTGAGATCCATTTTCTTCACTGCAACTTGCTTTCCTGTATGCTTCTCAGTGGCAATGCAAACTATTCCAGTGGAACCTTCTCCTATTTTGATAAAGTTGTCCAAGTATTCCCTAGGGTCACCAGGGCTGACAACTAGCTGCAGGGCAGCTCGGAACTGTTCATGAGACACCCTGGAGGGTTGCTGATCTGACGATGAAACCCAGCTGGGTGGTGGATAAGCACTTGACGTGATGCTTGGGGAGCTTGGGTAAGAAGCCGTGGAGATATAATGGGAGCTTGACTGGAATGAAGGCTGGTGATAATGAACAGCTTTGTGGTAGACTGAAGGGTACTGGTAGCCAGGGCTTGTATAACTAACTTTGTTCTGATTTTGAGGTAGCTTTGTTGGGCCCCTGGGGTAGGTATCTGATCCAGATAGCGGTGGGCTAACTACCATCTGTGCGCGATCATAATCCACCTGCAAAAGTGAAAATAGTTTGTTAAAATGCTGCAGTCCATCCAGATCTGCTGCCAATGATATGAAGAGTGCATTAAATCCTATGCTATCCATCAAGTCAGATGTCAGTTCCTTGGACAGTACAGCTGACTCCACAGCAGCCTCTTACTTTTGATTGGGTATTTCTAACTTCCTCTGTTTGTGGACACTTGGCTAAAGAAAAAAGTTTTTACCATTCAGACTACAATCTCACTGTTTGGTTTGCAACATGGTTCTTTCTCAGAGTTGCCAATGGACCAAAGATGGGAGCTGGAGACAGACTAAGTAAAGATCCATCATCCCTGTAGCATTCTCTAGTATGTACTTTAGGTTTTGGTGAAATACTGTCAATTTGCTTATACCCTGGTTCATGGCTTTACTGTTATTATTGCTGGGATAAATGTTTTTGCTAACTTTTGGGAGATGAAAACAAACCCTTTACTACCTAGTACTTCCTGTAATAATTTCATTGCTTAATCTTCTATTTCTCTCCAGCTCTTACCTCTTCAGATGCTCTCTAACCCCTGGATTAGAGCAGCTGGAAAGAAGTATTGAACAGTACCTCCCTTACATTACAAGCATAAAGCAAGAGGAATTAAATATAAAGTTATTTTTGTGTGTAGTTGTTATATAATATCCCTTACCCAGGTGATCTCTGACACATTGCCAGCCTTACTGCCAGGCTAAATACCAATCTTCCTATACTGCAACTGTTAAGAGATGAGGTAAACTCCTGTACAGAGGAAGCCATTTGCAGTATACAACAAATTGTTCAAGTCTTGCAAATAATGGGAACTAGACTGTAATCCTAAATTTCAGCAACCGGTTACTTGTCTATTCATTGTTTGCCTCCCATATCACAGACTTGGCTGGCTAGAAGCTAGAAGGCTGGTCCCTCTCCAGTGGTGTGGATGGTAAGCTCTTGCCAACTGGGTGGTGCTATGTGACACTGTGCTCAAAGGATCTCAGTACTTGAAGTGGGGGGAGGGGAGATTGACAGCATAGGCAGACACTTTCATATGGGTAGATCCCATTCACATGTAGGACAAGTTAGACCACTCTCTCCCATTGTTGGCTGCTACTCTCTGCGTAGCTGGAGCACTGCACTGGAGAGCTGGTTCAATTAGCAGTATAATAGCACTAATAGAGTATTTATGGCTTAAAATGGCAATGTTGCATTCTTTTTACATTCATGGTACTCACAATATAGTGCTGTAGGGGTCTTCTCATAATTCCTACAAGATGACACAGAACCATCATAATTCTTACCAATAACATTAATGTAAGTAGAAAGGGTGACTGCTGTGATAGATGAAATAAACAATAAACAGAAACCATGGAAGTTCAGGCTAAGATTTTGCCCCAAGGAGGTGAAAAACAATTGTGATGAGGTGAGCAAATATCCTATTTGATATGGGGATATGATCTTCATAGTCTTCAAAGGGACTCCCTTCAAGCAAGACATAATGAGAAGTCTAATTTAATTTACCATTCTAAAATCATTTTCCAAAGTGACAAACTACTTAACTGCAGGGTCACAAAGCCACTAATTTTCTTTTGAAATCAGAGACAATCTGAGAGGAAACTATCTCAATAGGAGGCTTTAGAAAAGTTCAAGCATTATTCCTTTTTGATGGAGAAACAGCTAATAAGACAAAGCCTACTTGCATTTATAGGTTCCTTTTTTAGCGTTTCCAAGCTTCTTGTGTCTACAGTAAATGGGTACTTTACCTTGTGAAATAAAAGCTTTATCATCCCTGTCTACATTCAAACCCCCAAAAGTATGGGAGAGGGCAAAAAAACAATTCCAGCCAGTTCTGAAAGCAAATAATTCACAGTTTATTACACAGCAAAAATAGCTCATGACAATGTGTGTAACCTCTCTGAGGGGGGCTGGGGTGGTTAGACACAGGCTCATGATGTAGCACAATTACAAATAATTATAACGATGAATTCATTTAATCAATCAATTTCACTGGCTGTGCACAGAGGTGGACAGGGCATAAAACTCTACACAGCTCTTGGTTGCTACTATTACTGCTGGCTCTCAGCCAGGAGTCCCCTGATCCATGTTAGTTAAATGCACATTAATCTGAATTTGGCAGTGTAATCAAGGACCCAACTGAACTGTGAAATTGAATTCTGCAGTGGAACATCATTTGACCATTTTATGCTAAGACTGCAAAAAAAAAAAATCTGCCGCAGCATCAATTTATCACTGTAGCCTGCTGCACATTGAGAAGAAGCTTGTGGCTGAGGTTCCCCAGTGGGAGGAAAAAAATCTCAAAGCACAAAATCACATCAGTATTTTGCAACATCATGTATAACACAGGCTTGCCTATGTCATGGGCAGTTTTAGGAGAAGGCTTTGCATGCTCTTGAACAGCTGCTTTAATATTCCTCTTTGCCATATGAAATGGGATTCTTATTCTCTGTCATGGCTCTTCAGAGCCCTATGCAAGGCAGGCTATCAACCCATTACATGTAGCATGCTTCTAACACAAAACAGCATCATACTTACAGTAGTAGTCAGTTCCTGAAGAGACTGATTTTATATGAATAAAAGACAGAGATAATGATGGCAATGATTTCACTTAAACCAGCAAGCAGAATTTTATAAACCTGGGAAGGGGGTAGAGATACCTTGAAGTCCACAAGGGATTTTGCTGTTGTGAATCTACTCGAACATAAGAAAGCATACAGTAGTGGAGTCCAGAACAGTTATACAGGACATGCAGGTTGCTGATCTGAAATTTAAACTTATGGCTATTGGTATGTTTTTAAATATTTACAAATGAAAATGAGTGGGTCCAAAAAATCTTATGAAAAATATGGCATTCTTGCTGACACATTTTTAAGCGCTTCAAAACTAGCATTTCATAACTGGGCTTATAATACAATCCAATCCAAGATCATTCATATTTTTGCCAGGAAATTTTACAAAAATATAAGATAAAGCCCTGACACCAGCAAATCTCTCCTTATTAATATTATCTCAACACAGTTCTTCATATTACTGCAAATTCAGATAGATACTCTTTCACAAATACTTCTATTTAAATTATTGCATTCAATTAACCTCTCTGGGGAAACACTTTACAGACAAAGGGGGAAGAAAAAAACAATTGAGGCCTTATTCACAATCAGGTCAACAGCGCAGATTACGTTTTGACACAAAATCCATCAAAGCACTGCAGTGAAATGGAAAACACTTCTGCTGCTGTGCGGGTTGGTTCACTGACTCACATTATTACTTAAATGTGCACACGATAACGTCAGCATTCAGGCTTTTATCTGTAAAGAAGTGGATTTTGCAAGGTGCTTAAACTCACTTTACTTTCTGCACTGGTGCAATAATGCAAATCATGTATTGCTAGACCATAAAGATATATGAAATGTAATTCAGAAACAACTGCTTATTCATTATGCAAAGCAAGGCCCTGCTCCTATGATGCAATATGTGGGGGCAGATCCTTTAACCTCCTGTTGAAACAGCAAGAGGGGGCATTGTAGAACACACCTGTCACAGAAATGGATTACTCAGTCCTCCAGCTGAAAAATCTGGTGATGTGATGGGCAAGGAAGGACCCAAGTGGACTGCAGGGGAGAATCCTTTAAGATATAACCCATCTTCTAGAAGAGATAGATTAGGTTGATCAAGGTTGATATAGCAAGGAATTGCCACCAGAAGATAAAGATGCTATAATAAATTACAGGGCCTGATGATAAGGGATTTCATTGAACAATAGCTTGGTAAGTGGTAGCTGAGAAGCATTGGGTGCAATGTGAAGTGAAGTTGTGGGTCCTCAGAGGACATCTAGATAGATTCCTAACAAGTACTGACACGATGTCTGCGATTCTGATACATCTCTCTACTCGACAGACAGAAGCAAAGGAAACAGGTCCTCTAGGCTAAATTGAATTTACTAGGAAAACAGACTCATCTCTAGAGCTTCTGCAATACAGATCTCTGAAATGCTTCCAGTCCCACATGAAGTGGCAGCTGGGGAGAAGTTATATGAAAGTTTCCATATGCAAAGGGGAAGATGATATAGAAAAGTGGAGGTTACTTTTGTGAAAAACCAGGCAAAGGAAGAGAAAGCCACAGTTTATATATGGGCTTCCCCTTCTCCAGATGCACACCTGAAAAGTGTTGGAGAATTATTTAAACCAGGAACTGGAAAAACAAAATGTGTCAGTGGCATTCAAAGCAAAGACTTCTGCTAGGGATAACAAAAGTAACCCTGTATCAGGGAGGAAGGAATAGAGAAGATACAGCCATGCTGGAAGAGGGGCACTATAATGAACTAGATATCAACAGGGGGATTATAAAGGAAAATTGTGTGAAGCAGAATGCCTGGCAATAGTAGCTGTCCTTACTACAACACGCATTTCTGGAACGTGGCAGAATGGAATATTGTAATAACCAGAGCATAAACTACACAGGAAGATCTAATTACTTTAGAATGGGTTGGAAATACTGAGATTTAATTGAACCTAATGAGATATAAATTATGCGTGGAAAGGACCCACACAGTATTTGGAATGAATGAATAAAAATGCCAAGTCATGAGATTACAAATACGCTACAAGTAGGTAATACTGCTGGCCTGTAGATCGGAGTAATGGGAACACGTGCATAATGCCGAGGAAGATCAAAGAGGCAATTACGTTTGAAAATGGCTGACTTCAAATACCTGTTATTTTAAATGGTCCAATATGTCACCAAGATAGGATCTGGAGAAAGTAATTTCTTGACACCGTTTAGGAGTGTTTCCTACAACAGCTCCTCCCAGAGCACAAAAGAGGCTACTCTCAGCTGACTTCTATGGCCATGTCCACATGTAGGCTGGATGTTTCGTTCCCCAGTGACAACTAGCAGGGAATGCCTGTGCCACATGTGCTCTGGCGCATAGCAAGTTACCTCCGGGGCAGTAGGAGAGGCTTGGCCAGCACTGGGCTGGCCCCAGCAGCCTTACCTGGGGTCCTGGGAACCTCCCAGGATTGCAGCAGCGGTGATTCTGCTGCGCGGAGCCTGGCTCTGGCTGGCCTGGCTCTACTTTTGAGTGGCACACGCTGCCCACACGTCCGCTTTTTTTCTCCATGGATTTTCTTTGCCCCCTGGATATCGAGGGGTCAAAAAAACCCTCTGCACTGCTCCCTTGCAGCACAGAGAATAACTGAACATCCCGCATGGCTGTGCTCATCTGGACACAACCTAAGAGTCCCAAAAGAGTTGTTTCAAGAAATACTTGATCCCCTAAATTTATTCCACTGCAGGGTTTCTTTCCCTGGATCAGGTGATACTGTCCACCGTTGGAGACATGATACCTTCAGGATGGATCAGCTGCCCCACATGGGAATTCCTATGTGCCAGGGAAGTTAAGGAGATACCATCTGTGTGTAAAGATCCACTTTTAAGGACTAAATATGCTCCTGGTCCAATGCCACTGAATTTATGGGGATTACACTGGGATGAATTTACTGTATCTGACAAAACAGATGCAAGTAATGCTGAACTAAATCCACATTTCAGACTTATCAGCCATAATGAATAACTTTGTTGAAATTATTTTTAAAGCCATACATTTATGCCTGCAGACTTTTTTCAATGTTTACTCCCCCTACCTCACATTTTAATTATACTTTAAAGGCAATCTCATTTGTAATATATCTGATTCGAGACCTGATTCTCATTTGGTAAACTCATTTAATGAACCATTATCTTACTAATGCCTCTTTGAAAAGAAGATTCTCTAGCAATCATGCAAGACAAGGAACTGCTGTTCTGTTCTGGAGTTGCTGATGGGTTTGGGAATTGTAACTGCTGCATATAACAGTGAATCATCAAGTTTCAATGTGCCAAGGCTGTAGGAGTCTTTTCAATGTTCTAAGGAAAGATACAGCTAACAATGAATCTCGCATGGAGACACTTTTCTATAAAAGTCGTTACTGAATTTTAATGGCATATTTTTCAAAGTGCTCACATTACTTTGATTCTCTTAAAATATATTGCTATCTACAACCCTGTTTAACATAGTAAAACACTGCAAGATCAACCAACATGGAATTTTATAATTATTAGTGGATTTGGCCTTCCACCCTTTACTTAGAAGGGACACATGTTCAGAAATAACTATGCCTGCCAAAATCAGGCTTCTTTGTGGTGTCCCACAATATACACACAAAAATTCATCCATCCCTGAGATCTACGCTGTGGACAGGTATGTTGCTACATCATAATCATTACAACATGCCAAATGAAAGATGTGCCTGAAGAAGGGTGACTATGCCCGAAAGCTTGCCAAGAACTTTTTTCCAACTACTCAGTTGGTTTAATAAAAGCATGAACGTCGCGGGGCATAGCGAGCTCCCACAGGTGGCAGTGCTGTCAGTGGTGGGAGTGTGGCGGCGGCAAGCAGGGAGCTCCCACAGGCAGCCACAACGCTGTCAGAGGTGGGTGGGGGGTGGTGATGGTGGTGAGCGCCGACTGATGGTCAGCAACCACCTGCAGATGCCGCCATCAGCGTCAGCAGCGTCCAGTGGTGATTGTGGACTGTCCACAGATGCCGTTGGCAGTGTTGATGATGAGAGGGGGGTGGCAAGCAGTGACTGCAAGCAGGCGCCATCAGCAGTATCAGCAGTGCCTTTTCACAGGGAGTGCACCGCCATGCTCAGGGGATGCACATGCAGCCATATGCACCCCCTACATGTCACCAATGAATAAAAGATATCACATCTACTCAAAGACTCTTGCCTGCCTATGTCCTTAGACAAACACGGCTACAACCAAAAACCCTATCACTTACATTAACACATGTGGAAAAAGGGCAATGAAAGTTACCCCACTGCTGGGAATTCAACTGTCAGATAGGATTTGGCTTTGAAACTAGAACCCAAACCCTTGTCTCAATTTAATCTAGACTAAAAACTCTTAGTCACAGTGGTGGCTAATTTGAACTTTGTTGAGTAGTATCAACAGGGAAGCCAGTGCCTGGGTAGGAAAAGAGAATGAATAGGTCTTTTGAGTCCATCCTGCATTTAGTTTTGATGCATCCTGGGAGACCTTGGGCTGTTTCTTTCTGTTCTGCAGCTGGACAGCAGAATCAAATTCCCAGTGCTCATAACCAGGTATGTAAGTAAGTGTGTTATTTCTAACCTTATAAAATAATAAAATGTAAGATTAACTTTTTAATCAAAAACACTTTTTTTTTAAAAAAAAGCCAGGTTAACCAAAGACCAGGTCAGCCATGCAAAGACATGATACAATCTTGGTGGTTTAAAATACCTCTTATCCTGAAAGATAGCAAGTGCTTTTGTTGTTGTTGCTATGGGAACTCAATGATGTTCAATGCAATTATCCCTGAAGAGCAAAAAAACCTCTAGTGGAATACCACAAATTTAAAAGGGTCATGACTACAGCCATAAAAACAGGCACACTGAGAAATTGTTAGCTGTTTAACTAAACTAAGATGGCCCGGCATCTCAATTTGGAGATATTCTGTCCAAATGTATGAACTTCTAGCTGTCAGCCCCGGTTACTTAAACTCTAATATTTTTATGCATGGCTCCAATCCTTCAAACCCTTGCATACACAAGTAGTTTTACTCATAAGAACAAGCCCACACAAGCAGTGTTTCTCATGCAAAGAAAAATGTGCAGAATCAGGTCAAAACCTATATAAGAGAGTATGTCTCTAGGTATCATAGATGAATTGCATTTTCCTGATTTAAGTGTAAAATGGTTTGGAACATGTGTACAGAATTAGTTTTATGTCAAGCTTTTCCAAAACAGTAAAAATGAATCAATCTCCATCTCTGATGGTAAAAGGTTTTAAGTACAGGTCTCAAACTTGGATGTTTTAGCTTCTCAGCTACAGAGCTTTTCATTACCATCTATATGATTTGACAGGTTATGAATCAGCTACAGACAGGATTGTCTACACAAGTGGCCTCCAAACTACTGTCTGTAAGCCTATGGTAAGTGGCTAGCACGCTGTGTCATGCTCCTTCTCTCCATTTTTTCAATTAAAAATATGAAGATTAGGTTGCAAACAATTCCATGCAGGTGAGTATCTCATCCCTCACTGTAAAACGGGGACTCTACCCTCTAAAACATTGGATTTACAATTTAGTTACATTTTTCATTGTTAACCTCTGAAAATTCACTTTTCTCAATGCTCTCAGGGGAAAAAATGACCACCAGCCAAAATATACCTGCTTGGGTGCCTAACAAAAGGCACCAAGGGCCAGATTCCTTAAAGGCCTAAATATGCAAGTATGTACTTGGTGGAGTTTATGAAAGCCTCTAGGCTCCTAACTCCCAGTGGAATCAATTGGAACTCAGTGTTTTTGAACATCCTACTTAGATACATATCCAGATCTTTAGGTGCCTTCCTAAGGGGCATACTTTAAAGATATTGAAAGATATTCAACTTCCATTAAAATCAATTCCTCTAAAAATCTGATCTGAAATAAATGCCTTTAAAAATCTGCCCTTAAATCCATATTCAGATTAATCAGTAGAAGCAGCCAGGTTTTCAAAACTGTTGACTTGCTGAGCACTTGCAGCTGTGAGGTCAATGAGAGCACAGGTACAGCATGAGAAAAGGTATCAGACCACCTCTATTTAGATGCCTACACAGAGATTCGGGTACTTCACCTCACAGAACCACGTTCTGAAGATATCGGCCACAGCTTTGAAAGCGCCGGCCTGTGCTAGAGGTGCAGAGGTTAACTTTACCTTCGGGATGCCTGCTGCAGTTTCTGACAAGCGAGGGTAGGTGTACGAACTATATGAATGTCCTTGTTGATTGGATTTAAAAGCACTTGCTCCATAGGGCATGACTGGTTCCTGAAGGCCAGACCCTGACCTGGACCTCTGTCTCATGGTTGGTTGAGGACTTGCCTGGTTTACATAGGACGACTTTGGTCTTTTCTCATAATCATCCTTGCCGGGTCCACTTCCCCAATCGCTGTCACTGTATTCCAGTCTTTCTTTAGAGCATTCGCTTTGCACTGAAGTTCTAGAAGGAGCATAGTGAAAGGGTTCTCTATAGTCTAGCGTGGATCCACTTGGAACCCTTTGATATTCCAGCTTTAGGCCACCGTATTCAATTGGTTTGCTTTTTGTTTCCATGTGCGTGTTATAATCTGGAAGGAACCTCAAGATGTCTGACTTTAAGGGCTTAACCTCTGAATAATAGGCATCTGTAGGTTTTGTTTTTATCATGTGTCCATTTTGCTTCATGGCATAGCTACCTTTGCAGTATCTGTCTAACTCTTCCCCAAAAAGGCTCTTGTCTCTGTGTTTGTCAGTGACATAGTCTGTAGTGGCGTCCGACTCACTGGAATATTGAGAATATGTGAGATAACCATTTTCCTCCTGGTGGCTTTGAACATGGTTTGAGTTTCCTTGGTGTGGGGTGGGAGGACTTTCCTTCCGGAGGGAATTGGAACGTGTTACTGAGATATTGTCAAATTCTTCTAGTAGGCCATTGATTGAAGTGTCCTTGCGAGGTTTATTTCCTCTAACGATAGTCTGAGAACAGAAAATTTCTTTGATTAAATACTGTCTTTTATTTAATATTTGACCAATAATTACTGAACAGAAAAATATCAATGACCTGGCAAGAAATATATTCCAAGATGTGTTACAGACTTCTCTCAGGTAGCTCAGAATCATTCATTTTAAGGAAAAAAGTATATATATTTTTTACAAGAAATACTTTAGTACAAAATAATGCAGCGGGGACTTTGAGAGAAATACAGACTAAAATTTTTAGGAAACTAGTGATTTGGTAACCAGTCTGAGACTTTTTAAGACAAGCCTCATTTTCAGAGTGGGTATTCAGTACTCAAAAAGCAGAGGCACTTAAAATCACTAGTCATTTTGAAAATATTGGGGCTATTATTTTGATTATTCTTTCTTACCAGTCTGCATCAGGTAAGGCTGATAGGCTGAGTCTAGTTTACAGTATATAGATCAGCTAAAAGAAAATCATTCCATAGCTTGCATTTTCTCATGTTTTATTATGGGAAAGCCTTGGAAGAGAAAGCATCGTGAAGTTTATTAGGTAGTATTTTCTTCGGCACAATGTGTTTGAGTGTAGCCGCTCTCAGTATTTACATTTGATTTCATTTAATATTATAGGCTGCAGTAGGGGAGATAAAAAAGGGTAAAAACTAACTTTGTCTCTATCACTGGATGCATACAGCCTCTGCAGACAACCTGATAGCAAAGACGCCTTTTATTATCCAGTTATCTTCAGGCATCTTCTGAAAGGGCTAAATTATGTCCCTAGGACATTCACAGCCTGGAAGCTGAAAGGATAGTGTAAGCTGTGGTGACTTTACCTGTAGTACAACACTGTACAGACCAGCAGGGGAGGAAGTAAATATCAAAGTTCTTGCTGAAGAGACTGTTAGGACAGAATACATGAGCTCTCTTTTCCTTAAACTGTTTTTCTCCACTCAACTTCCCTTCTAGTTACAATCCTGGATACAGGGCCGGATTAACTCTAGTGGGCCCTAGGCAAACAAATTTGTGGGCCCCGGGCTGGTCGGGCCCACCCCGGGGCTGCTGCCCACAGGGAGCAGGCTTGGAATCGCTGCTAGGAAACAGCCTCTATGGTGGCAAGGCCAGTGCAAGGGAGGGGAGAGGAGGGGAAGGGAAGGGAAAGGAGGTGGATGGGGCCATTCGTGCTGCCACCACGGAGGGAAGGACTGAAGGCCTCTGCATCTCAGGGCCCTAGGCATGTGCCTAGTTTGCCTATGTGTTAAACCGGGACTGCCTGGATGATAGGGATGGGCTGCAAGGGCTCATATGAAGTCAATCTCTGCTCTTATACATCAATTGTTAACTGAACACTTTTTCTGCTCAGTGAGGTTTTAATTAGCAGCTCCTAGTGAGGACCACCCTGATGTCTGTAAATTTCCAATAAGAATAAGATATACTAAGAATGCACCAGTTGATAGGAATAGGTATGGTCCCCAATTGAGTGAAATTTACTTTGTTGATTCATAACAGCTGAAGAACTGGCCCATATTTTTTAACTCGCCTAGCATGTACATAAACCTGCCTTAGTTCTCCTTGAGACATATTTGGTAGAAGCCATTTTTGTTACCATTCTACGTCTATACCTTGCAGACCCCTTGTGTGTGTCTGGGACACAGCTCGAGGGGTCTGTCCAGTGATCCCTGACTACTAGGGTGATCCTTAGAAGGAAGGAATAATGCTATTGCAGGAGCAGCTCGGGAGGTGTTTCACAGCCCCTCTGCAGTCTTGGTGAGTGAAGTTTCTTTCCTACATCTGCTCCCCACCGACTTCCTCAACGTGCAATATGGCTACTTTGCTTGTTCACTGGCCCTCAAGGCAGCTCTAGCTGCCTCTGAAGTGAAGCTGCCAAAGTCACTGCCTGAAATAGTCTCAGGCACTTAGCCAGATCCCTTATTCACAAACTGAACAGACTTTACCAAACAACCCATCCATTTCAGCGAAGGTCAGGCTGAGTCACACGGACCTATACTCACTTGGCACAGCAAGGAGGCATCTGTGGGAGGAGACTATGACAAACTATCAGCAAAACTGAGCATTTGCATTAGAAAAACAAATACTTCCAGGCAAATCTTGATATAACAGAGTTATAGCTTGTGGATGAAAGGAATGTAGCAGATGTGATACTGTATGAATAACAGCACAGAGTATGATAACTAACAAAGCTAAACTTAAAAAATCATTTATACTAACTTAGACAACTGGGCTTAGGGTTGAATTCTGCCTAAAGGAGGGAAAAGAATGGGTACATCATTACTATTAATAGGATGAAGAAGAGAACAAAGTACTCCTGGTTTGTGGATAAAAAAAGGGAAGCCCAGGTTAACATTTTCAGAAGAACTTATTTCACTTAGGAACCTAAATCCTACTTAACTACAGATAGTCAACAGAGAATTCACTGCAAGATCCAACCAGAATGGTGCTCTAGATACGACTGCAGTTTTCTTGACATTTGTATCAGTATTTATACATATCAACTTATTATATGAGCCCCCCCGCACCATGTTACAGACATTGTGTAATTAACTGGCTACTTGTGCAATGACCATAAGACCAGCTACACGTGCAAAGTACTTATTACACAATAAAAAGCTCCAACAGCTATTAAGTTAGACCTCAAAAATGGGTACTAATTTTATAGCTGGTTGATTGGTATTAAGCTTTAATTTACATGTATAGCAGGGTCTCCCCTGTGGCTGAGAGCCCTGTCAGCTGACAGACTCCCAGCTGCAGGGGTACACCTTGCCCAGTGTGAAACCCCCAGGCCCTAGGGATTGAGGCAGCAGTGGTCCACAAGGCTCAGAGATGCATGAGGCTCACCCACAGCTGGGTGCCCCTCAACTGAGGGGGCTCCCAGCTACAGGTAATTGTTTCTTGCTGGTGCAGGGTAACCTTGGGTTGGGCTCCCCCTATACTGGCGTAAAGCACAATGGGATCTAATGTGCAATCTCACAATCGTACCACCTGCCATGCATGTGTGGCTTGGCAGGAGGCAAGATTGTGTGGATCATGCATTAGATCCCATTGTCTTTATCTGAATGTGTAGATGGGGCCTAAGATAAATGCTTGGCATAGCTTATCTGCCTTCATACAAAATGGTTAATAAAGTAGAAACAGTTTTACTTGCAGAGGATATCAGTCTTACAAAAGGAATGATAAGTAGTGCTAAGTTGTAGTGGGAGAGTGTCCATTTGGATATCTCTGTTCCTAGCTAGGTTTCACTGGTTCCTCTGACTGGCACTCTGCTTCTTGACAAATCCTTATGTGTCTGTTTTTATCTTGTCTCATCAGTCGTGATGGTCCACATTACTCCTTCCTGTTGGAGGGGACTGAGAGAAAGGAAGATAAAGTCTGTGAGGTTTGTGCAGGTGAGTCTCCTTAGAATTATTCTCTTGAAGAGGTAGGGCATGGGATTTACCCCGATGCACAAGTAGGTATTGAAACTTTTAAATATTTCCACCAGTTTCTGTTTCTTCCACAAACCCCTTTTGAGTGTATTGCCTTGAGTAATACCTCTGTACTACCTGACTAGTAGCCCGAGGCCATTGTACCCAACACCCTGGAAGAGTTGGGAGGGGATGGCCTGATGAGTCTTGGGTCCTTCAGTCTGTAATGTCTCAAGGTCAGATTCTGCTGTGCTTATCCTGTTCGGCAGGATCTTGCTCTGGAAGCAGCTCCACTGATTTGAGCTTCTCATAAGCAGGTAGTGCAAGAAGTTACTCAGTGCGAGTCTGGGGTGACTAAAAGAGGAGCAGAACCTACCCGTGCTTACTCATTAGGAGAAGCATCGTCCTTAAATAATCCCACTGAGATCAGCAGGATGACAAGGGGGATGTTTAATGAAATTGAAAGACAGCAAATTACAAGCTGATAAAAAGGAACATGTTTTAGAAAATGCATCATTACCCAATGGAAATCTATGGCACAGATACCACTGAGGCCAAGAATTAAGTAAAATGCAAGGAGGAAGCGAGTGGTTTTATGGAGGATCACACTATCTAGAATAATAAATGTTCATCCTAACAATGTTTGTAAAAGGCATGACTCAGAGCCTGAGATGACTTCTGTTTACAAGGGATAAGGATACAGGAGATGATCTGCCAGAGTCCATAGACTGGATCTCAGGCCATCCTGCCTTACCACTCCTATAACCACAGAATGAGTAAGATACTTTTCCAGGTACAGGTGGCAGAATCCAACCTTATTTCCTTTGCTGTCAACTAGTCTAAAAGCTATTCTATAATGCTGACAGATGCAATGCAGAAATACTAAGATAAGCAACTATGCTGGGTACTTGGAATAATAGGCATTCCCATACTAAAAACAATGCAGACCATGAGAAAAGAACATAAAACCATTTACGGGGCAACTATTTTGACAAAGTCTTGATCCCAAATACCCTACACAGTATCTAAAAATAATTTTGGAATACAATAAACTGTAATATTTGCTGATGTCCAGATAGGTAAACACAATGCTGTTGCTTCTGTTTCAGTCTTTCAATGTGTAGTTTGCATCAGACAGAGATTGCCATTTAGTCAGACAGTTGGATATACAAGTAAAGACTTACTTTGGAGCTCACAGAGCAAGCCAAGTTGATGGTTATTTGCTTTGGCACAGTGCATCAGTTTGTAACTTGACAAGTAGAACTATCATGCAAGGTATAACCTAGAATAGAGGGTTTTACCAGAAAATCAAATACAAAGACTTTCTGAAATAAATCCTACTTCACTATTAGCATAGGACTTATTTTTATTTTTGTCTAGGAAAAGTTCTATATAGGCTCCATAGCCTTGGGCTGGAACATACTCAGTTGCTCTGTAGAGATGGTGCATATGTGATCTGATCATTTGTAGGAGTTGGGAGGAGTTAAAAGAAGCTCCACAAAAACTGAACAATTTTACTGCCAACTTCTAATGTCTCTTCTGAGCACGTGGAAACTGAGATTTTTCAAACGATTGTAACTTGGCCAAATTTAGCTGGAT